GTGTATCGTGAGTGTCAGCTGATGTAGCAGGCGCCTCCGTAAAACCCGTGTGTAGCGGTGAGTTGCGGCGCCCCTGCTTGTTCTTGTACTCAACTCACGATACGCTAACTATTTCTTTTATAATTAAAAATTAAGCTCCGCACAAACTTGTGCCAAAGGAAAAAGTTGTCTCAGAATACGCTCAGGAATATGTCCCTTTAAGGACATACGGTTATTTTGAATCACCCTGTATATCAACTAGTACTACAAAAAGATACATTAAACATAATTGTTATGTAATAATATCATTTAAAAATTGCAAAGTTTAAGAAAAAAAAGAGTTGATTAAAATATTTGATAATGTAATATAAAAAATAATAACATTATTTATTGAAAATATTTAAAAAATATATTTATAATGATACATATATTTAAAATTCTTTTATATATTTTAATACATTTATTATTCTGTAAATATAGTTAATGTATAGAGAACTTTTGTTGCGTTTATCCATTGATACACCCATACATAAAAAAGTCAATTGTACAAATATATGTACATGCACATATTTTTGCACACTATTGTTTTACAATACACATTTTTTACTACTTAACATCTTCACATGTCAAACATATTAAGAATTGCATTTGTTTCACTGCCTTTATGAAAAAAAGTATATAATAAATATTCTAAAACTTTTTTTAGAATTTACTTATTTTTATAGCATTATTTTTTATTTAGTTATATTTTATAAAAATCATAAAAATATAATTTATTCTTTAAGGTTAAAAATAGTGTTAGCATTAGTTTGGATTAAATGTGACTTAAGGAATATACGTATATGTTGCAATAAAATACGCCGCATCACTGAAAAGCGACGATTTCGCACTCGCATTCGCACCCTAGAAATTCTTTTGTGAGTGCTAATTTGTGAGAAAAGCACATCTGTCAAATTGCTGCAGGTGTTATATCGATCAATTAATGGGCAACCGCGTCTCAGCAAAATAATATTTAAATTGTCGCGATCTCAGAAGGGTATTTTTACAGTATTATTTTGCTGTTAGACTGAATTATAGACCTTTTTGGTCTGTAATTTTATTTATTTTATGCTAGAAGAGAGGGAGAAAATATTAATCAACAGACGAGAAGGTGGGGGATGAGCGAGTGTTTGCCGACTTCATCAAACGTATTTTACGTACGTATTTTACAGTACGAACCGACAGAGATGATCAGTGTAAAAGATAAATATTTTAATACCATTCGGTTTCTTTTACTAATAGTTGGTTTATGGCCTTTTCAAAAATCGAAATTTGCTCAACTTCACTCAATCTGTTTTTTTAGTATTATAATCACCGGTATTATATTTCAAGTATGCCGGAATTTTATATAGTTTTATGTAATATCTAATCTTTTTCTATATTCTAACATTTTTGTATCTATCTTTCTAATATAATATAAATATAATGTAAATATATTATTAAAAAGTCTGATATGTGTCAATATTATAAACATAATTACTTATATATAAATAATACAATTTATCACAAAATAAAAATTAAGTTGTAACTATGAATAATTTTTTTAATGTTATATGTGAAAAAATAGTTAATAATGTGACTTATAATATACTGATAAAGAACACACACAAAAAGAGTTCTTCATTATTACTTAAAAAATTGATTATTACAGTTTACAACATTTGTGACTTCAAAATATTCTGTGGATTTCGTTACGAAAGTTTTCTCTTCTGCATGTCCTTGTATTTGCTTTGCGATAAAATATAATTCATTTCGCGTTAATAGCGGAACGGTAAGTTGAATAATTATATTCAATTCGAATAAACATTGGCAGCGTAATTAAAAGTATATAGGTATATATATACAAATCCAAACAATATTTTTTATTACTTTACTAGGCATATAAAAATTTATTAAAACAATAGGTAAAATACTTAATGAAACAACTTCAATGTATTTATGATGATATAAAAAGCAATAACGAAATTGCCATTATAGAAGCCTACGGAAATAATGCAAAACGTTATACAGTATTACTTACAAGTAAAAAAACTATTCCCTATAATTCTGTTTTATATTTAAAAATTAATAAGTTAATTACAGAAATATTTGCAAAAATGGAAATATTTTGATTATGTATAAAGCATTATATTAACGCTTGAATTTAGATACTTCAAAAACAAATGTTGTTAAGTTATTAATATTATACATATTTATATTATTTAGCGTTTTTCCTCTCTGGTGTGTTAATTATTGTGTTCGTACACTTGTGGCCGATCTTATTTCACATAAATTTACCAATAAACCAGTCTCGACCATATCGTTTGTACATTATGACTGAATATTTTGTTGATCAAGAAAAATATTTCTATTTATTCTTACTGCACACAATCGCAGTACTTGGCATTGGAATAATTGCTATGTTATCAACAGGGATAATGCTCATAGCATATCTACAACATGCCTGCGGAATGTTTAAAATTGCTAGGTAAAATAATATAAATCTAAAACTTTTAATATAAAACAATTTTGTTTTTTAATTGATACAATTTTAAAATAATTTTTGTAAATTTTGTAAAAACAATGAGTCGAATATATTTAGAATTTTTAAATAGCTTATTTACACAGTGTACATTAAATTTTTGACTCTTTAAATTATTTTCAACTATTAATTGTTTGATATCAATTTAAAATTGCTTTTTTTTAAACAAATATGTCGAAAAATCAATAACTGCTTAGGCACAAGTCAATAAATACAATGACTAAGCATAAAATTAACACTAAAATGTTAATTATATAATACGGTATATTGTTTCAAGAATATAAAATATTTTAAATAGGTAATATAACAAAAATATATAAAAATTTAATTTACTGTTTAATTTTACAAATGTCTTATTTACTGATATCTAATTGAGTACGCAATATTAATTCACGAAAATTACGATGCTCAACTAGAATTGCTTAACATATTTTGTAAATTTTGTAGTTATCGTATCGAACATGTAGTACAAATTCATACACTACAAGATATCATTATTCTGCCCAACGAGAATGTGGTTTATAAGGGAATAATTCGTGCCATTGATATTCATCGCAAAGCGATGATGTTGGTATTCATCTGTAATATTCTTAAAATAATAACATATAATATGTGCAATAAAACATTTTCTTGTTAAAGGTTTTCTAAATATTTAATAGAACAATTTGAGATATCATTTATGTTTTTAATAGTATTTGGAGTGATTACTTTGAGTCTCAATATTTTTCGGGTAAGTGTTTCGAGTCTTATTTTTCGTTTGAATACATATTTAAACAAGTCGTATTACATTTTTTAAGAAAAACGTGATTTTTTTATTAACATATTTTATATGATATATTGTAAATACAGTTTTTTTTATATTTTAAATATATTTTTGTGCTTTAATACATATGTTAATTATAGTTACGACGTTGTGTATCACTTATTATAAATTTTAATTTATGTAAATTTTATTATAGATTTTAATAATTAATTTTAATAATTAATTTTAATATTGAAACTTGTAGATTTTTCAGATCATAACAGTAAACTATGATATTGAAGAATTTTTTATGGCTTTTGTAATTGTACTTATAGCTATTTTATATATGTTTTTATCGAACTATATTGGACAAGAAATTATAGATCACAATAATCACATATTTCACACTGCGTAAGATATACTTTTACGTTGTACAATTATATATGTTTTACAAATTGTAATTAAAAAAGTAAAAATTTATGTTGTACCTAGAACAACTTACATACACTATAATCATTACTCATAAATATTCTTAATTTTGCTAAATTATTGAGACTCATTATTATTATTTCATACAGATATAATGTTCGATGGTATATGACTCCTCTTAGTGTACAAAAGCTAATACTGTTGATATTACAAAGAGGCAACAAACCTTTCGGATTAAATGTCGGTGGATTGTTTATAGCATCCTTGCATTGTTTTGCTACGGTACAGAATATTTGATATAGCATAATACTTGTTAGACATAATACTTACATTTGAGAGCGTGAAGATGAAAGTATGTATGTTACAGTTAGCCAATGCTTCTATATCTTACTTTACTGTCATGTATTCTGTGCGATGATGAAGATAATAGGCATCAATTAATACAGCAGGATGAATTGAAGAGAATTCTCGTGTCACAATATCATTAAAAAGTAAAATCGCATAGTATAAAAGAAAACTCAAATAATAATATATATATATTGTAATAATAAATATATTTTAAAATATATAAAGAATTATTATTTGTAGAAAAGATTTAAAAAGTATTTAAAAACGATTATACTTAAAAAATTGTTTTATATATTTTAATAGATTTTTTATCATTTGAAACAGTGAACTTTTTTATTGCGTCTATTGGTGCACCTACACGCAGACACATCAATTGTTTAAATAAATACTTTTGCATATTATTGTCATATTTTTTGCAGCTTATATTTTTACACGTAAACGTGTCTAAAATTGAATTCTTTGTCATTGCTTTTATTTAGAAACTAGGATATTGTGGATCTGTGAAATTATTACGACACTCTATTAATATTAAATATAAAAAAAACAATCATAGTTTTAGTAGTACTTTTCATAGTTCTACAGTTCCTTATAAAAATTGAAGAGTACTATTGGAACTGTAATTGTTTTTTTTTATATTAATAGAATGTCGTGTTAACTTCACAGATCCGGATATTGTTCTATAATTATTATCCACCAAATTATTTTTTTTTAAATATATAAATGTAATATAGTTATATTATAAAATAAGAAATAGAAAATTTGCACGAAATTAATGTAATTAACTTACCAATGATGTAAATGTATGCACGTTAACACAAAGTATATTGCCACCGTATTGAAGTACAGAAAAACTTGAGGAACTTACTCGAACGAGTGTGCAGTTGATAATAAACTAACTGTTTCACTCATCTTCGCGTAACTTTCCCCCACCCCCAGAAATTGTCTCGTGAATATTATTTTATGAGAAAAGAACATCTGTTAAATTTCTGTCGACATTAAATCGATCGCTTAGTCGGCGATGCTCTCAATAAAATAATGTTATATTACATTATCGCGATCTTACAAGAATGTTTCGTATATTATTTTGCAGTTAAAAAAATTGCAGTTGAACTGAATTACGGAATTTACGTTAAAATACATAATGCTAAAAAATTGTATACTAAAAAAAACTTGGAAGATATCTAACCGAGGAAAAGGTGGGAATGAATCATTCTTCGTTGACTTCATTTCCAACAAACGCGTCTTAGTGCTAGCAGAGAAATGATCAGTATAGATAATCATTTGAATCTTAATCGAATATTGTTGTTAACAATTGGCTTGTGGCCTTATCAAAAGTCAAAACTTGCTAAACTTCAATCAATATGCTGTTATAGTATTCTAGCAACTATTATTATATTTCAGGTATGGTATAATATTTTAATTATATTGTCTATTATATACATTGTGCGATACACTCTAGTTTTATAAAGTTATTTTAACTTGAAAAAATTTGTAATTTATTTGGAATTAATATTTTTTTAATCAAAAGAACGATTAATTTATAAACAATTAATCATCATAGTACACTATTTTGATCAACAAATAAGTTAATTCAAGTGAATAATAAGGTTTTATTGTTTTTATAATTTAGATGGATATAATGTGTGTGCATGTGTGTGTAATTATTTATAATATAATATATAATAATCAAATAAACTTATATTATTATCGTATAAAGTATTTATTACTTTTATATATAAAATAGTACTTAAATTTATACAAATGAATTAATATGCCACAGTGAAAAAAAGTTTTTTAATCTAAGTTTATCGGAAAATTATTACTTATAGCTGACAACATTCGTGACTTCAAAATGTACTGTTGATCTTGTTATTCAAGTTCTTTCTCCCACGCTTGCTATAATTGGTGTAGCAATAATGTATAACTCATTTAATATTAACAGTGAAACAGTAAGTTTATTATCAACTGCACATTCGTTCGAGTAAGCATTCCTAAAATAAAATTGCTTATTAGTTTTTTGAAACATTACTAAGACAAGTGGCTTAATTAAAATAACAGGTAAAATATTTAATGGATCAATTACGACGTATCTGTGATGATTTAAAAGACAACAACGAAATTGCCATTGTAGAACGATGTGGTGATCTTACAAAACGTTATACAGTCGCACTCACAAGTAGGATAATGTCATTTAATTCAAATTACACTTTGCATTTAAATTGATTTAAAAAAATTCATTATTGAAGTCTTTTGAGTTTATTTAAAACCGTCTTATTTAAATTTATTAGAAGTTTATTATTCTATTATTAAGATATTCGTTATTTCTTACATTGTTTAGTGCTTGTTGTATGTAGCCTGTTATTTTTAATTGGCGTCCAATTATGGCCAAGCTTTTATGACATTATTTCGTCCGTAAAAGAGTCTCAACCACGTCGTTTGAATATTAAGACTGAGTATTTTGTCGATCAAGAAAGATATTTCTACTTATTGCTATTGCATATAAATGTAGCTCTCACTATAACATTGGTTATAATGGTAGCCATAGGAACACTGTTTCTTGCGTATATACAATATGTTTGCGCAATGCTTCAAATTGCTAGGTAAAATAATAAACATAAAAACTGAAAAAATATAATTTTAAAAATTTTATTTTTTATGTAAGAGTAAAATATTCATCTTACAATAATAATATGCTAAAATGTGTATAAGTATACAAATTAAATTATTTACAGTTATCGTATCGAGCATGCAATGCAGATTTATACAGTACAAGGTATCATTTTATTGAGCGAGAATATGATTTATAAGAGAATAATTTGTGCTATAGATATTCATCGTAAAGCTATGATGTTGGTATTTATCCCGCAAAACCTATATAATATGCGTAGTAATATTATATAGATTTTACTTGTTTTTAAAGGTTTTCAGATTGTCTAATATCTAGATTTGAAATGTCATTTATGATTTTAATAGCATTTACAGTGATTACTATGAGCCTTAATATTTTTCGGGTAAGTTTTGTTTTCTTTTGTTTTTGAATACATATTTAATCAAATTATATGTTATATGATATCTCTTAGTGTTAATTTGTGTTAATAAAACTTGCTGAGAGGCAAAATTTGTACTAAGCATCGATAAAATTATTTGTCATTATAATTTAATTTGATTGAAATAAAAGACAGCGAGAGACGTGCGGATAACAATTTCAACTTACAATTTTTTTTATTTTTCTAAAAACGTGTGCTTTGGCATATGTTAAATTATTGTTAGATAAAAAGTTCTGCATTACATACTATTCTGAATTACAAATTATTTAAATAAGTTTTTAAAAACTAATCTAGACATCAAAACTTTTGTGCTAGGTTCTTCAAATTGTGTCATTCAGATATACTAAGGATCTTTCGCTATCATTTTTATTAGTAATATGTTGTTTCATAATTCTGTTCCTAAGTAACTTAACTGGACAAAAAGTTATAGATTACAATAATCATATATTTATGACTGCGTAAGAAATATTTTGCAATTTATCAAGCTATAAATAATAATATTGCTTTACAAAGTTTATTAACAAAATATAATCAAATTTTCGTATTTTTATTCTAAATCGCTTTGTCTAATTTCTCTAATATTCTAAAGTAATCAATTACATGCTTAGACAAATTTATAAAAAGTAACAAAAAAATGTAAAATTAATTTAAAAAATATGAAAGTTTGACTAAATTCATATTGTTACAAAATATATGTGTACTGTGAAAATTACATACATACCCTTATT